AGATCTAGACCCCGGGTTGATAATTAGAACTTTCCACTTTACTGCATTCCTGGACAGCGAGTACACTTGGTCGCAGTTTGGTGTTGTGTCATAGCGTGTCAATATCAGCAGGATTATCCGCGGTGCCAACCTTCTTCACCTTTATCCTCTTCTCTGTCATCAAAATGATACCTCACGTTGATGTGCTAGGTCCTCTCATGGTGGACTTGATCCTTGTCCAAGCATATTGCACTCAAACTGTTGCAATACACCACTGTCTGATCATGATGTAGACCCAGATCACCAACCAGTCCCTTCAACCATATTCCCTCCTTAGAAGCTTCTGTCAACGCCATATACTCTGCCTCAGTAGTAGACAATGTCACCACCGATTGCAGAGTTGCCTTCCAGCTCACTACAAAACTCCCAAGAGTGAATACACAACCGGTCATCGATCTCCTCGTGTCAACATCTCCAGCATAGTATAAGTTAGAATACCCAGACATTAAGCACTCTGTATCACTTCCGAAGCTAATCCCCACAATAGGTGTACCCTTAAGGTACCGGAAGATCCTCTTCACAGCCTGCCAATGCTCCTTCCCAGGTTGTATCATGAACCTGCTGACAACACTGAGAACGTGTGCAAGATCAGGTCTAGTGCATACCATAACGTACATCAAGCTACCTACTGCACTAGCATATGTGACTCTCGACATGTACTCCTTCTCAGCCTCTGATTGCGGTGCATAAGCTGAGAATAGATGAATATTTGAGGCACTAGGAGTATTTAAGGGATTTGCTGAAGACATGCCAACCATCGACAATATCTTCTGGATGTAGCTCTTCTGTGACAAGAAAAGACTCTTCTTTGACTTGTCCCTGTAAATCTCCATACCCAAGATCTTCTAAGCAGCTCTGAAATCCTTCATCTCAAACTCAGCACTGAGAAGCCCCTTTAACTTCTAGATATCAGAATTCGACTTCGCAGCTATGAGCATATCATCTACATACAGAACTAGATATATCATCGAACCATCATCTGCCTTACTGTGATATACACAACAATCATATGGACTTCTGTTGTAGCCCAGCTCAAGCATGTAACTGTCAAATCTCTTGTACCACTGCCTCGGAGATTGCTTAAGTCCATACAAGGACTTCAAACATAGTCTTCCTTTCCTGGAACCTGGAATCCTTCTGGCTGAGTCATATAAATTTCTTCCTCCAACTCTCCATGTAGGAAAGCTGTCTTCGCGTCTAGCTGCTCGAGCTCCAAGCCATAATGCGCCACTATTGCTAGTAGCACCCTAAAAAAATCGAAGTATGTCTGACCACTGGTGAGAAAATCTCATTGTAGCCAACTCCTTCCCTCTGCGAGAAGTCTCGTGCAGCCACCTGAGCTTTGAATCCCTCTTCAAAACTGATTCCTTCCTTCTTCTTGTAGATCCACTTGTTTGCCACAATCTTCCTTCCCTGTGGTCGTTTGACTAGCTCCCAAGTTTGATTCCTGTATGGGATTCCATCTTATCTCCCATTGTAGCAAGCCACTGATAAGCTTCACCACCCAAAACTGCTTCTCTATAGGACTGTGGCTCTCCTGCATCCACTTCTTCAGCAACCTGAAATGAATACGCCACCATGTCCTAGAAACCATACCTCTGTGGAGGTACTCCTTCAGTCGCTCTCTTCGGTCTACCGGAATCCATAGACTGTTGAGCACGTGCACTGGACTCTGAAGTTTCTGGCTCTACAGAGACATCTTCATCATGTTGATCTTCTCCACCTTGGTGCTCAAACTCACTCTCTTTGAGAGTTTGCAGCTCCACCTGTTTATCACCATTCTTGCTACCTTCAATAATAGTAACCTTCAACATGGGGTTAAACATAGACTTCTCATCAAATATCACATTTCTACTGAGTATAACTCGATTCTAAGAAGGTGACCAGACTCGAAATCCCTTAACTCCATCTCCGTAACCCACAAATATGCCCTTCTTTGCCCTTGGGTTCAGCTTACCTTCATCCACATGATAATAAACAGGACCCCAAAAACTTTCAGTGAAGAGTAATAAGCAGGCTTACCATACCACACTTCATAAGCAGTCTTACACTCGACACCTGTGTGAGGTCCACGGTTGATCAGGAAGCACACCATGTTCACTGCTTCTGCCCAGAATCTTCTCTCTAGTCCAGCATTAGAGAGCATGCACCGTGCTCTCTCCAACAATGTCTGGTTCATCCTTTCTGCAACGCCATTCTGCTGGGTTTATCTTTAATGGTTTGATGACGGGCAATCCCTTCATCCTTGCAGAATTCGTTGAACTCAGAACTGCAGAACTCCAGACCATTGTCCGTTCGTAGCTTCATGATCTTCTTTCCCGTCTGATTCTCTACCAATGTCTTCCACTACTTGAACTTCATGAAAGCCTCACTTTTCTGCTTCATCATGAAAATCCAAGTAAATCTCAAATAATCATCAATAATAGACAGAAAATACCTGCTGCCTCCAATGGATTCAACTCGTGAAGGATCCCGACAGTCGGAGTGGAGGTAATCCAGTATCCCCTTCGTCCGGTGGATACCCTTCTTAGGAAACTTGCTGTGATGTAGCTTTCCAAACACACAATGCTCACAGAATTCCAAATTCTGAACCTTGTTCCCGCAAAGAAGATCCCTCTTTGATAGAACTTGCATCCCTCCGGTGGATACCCTTCTTGGGAAACTTGCTGCGATGTAGCTTCCCAAACACACAATGCTCACAGAATTCCAAATTCTGCACCTTGTGCCCGCAAATAAGATCCCTCTTCGATAGAACTTGCATCCCTCGTTCACTCATATGCCCCAGTCTCATGTGCCAGAGAGTGGTCATATCTTCCTGATGAACCTGAGACGATGCAACTGCAGCAGAACCAGACAACACAGACCCTTGTAATGCATACAAGGTCCCACGATTCACGTCCTTCAACACCTTCATTGAAGCTTTGTAGACATACACAACTCCACCTTTTCCTTTGAAGCTGAAACCCTTGCTGTTGAGTAGACTCAAGGAGATCTAGTTCTTTGTCATTCGTGGATCATGTCTGACATCATTCACGGTACAGAATGAACCATCATGTGTCCGAACCTTTATGGACCAGATTCCAACAACCTTTCAGACAACTCCATCTGCCATGACCACTTTACCACCATCTATCTGCTCGTAGGTTGTGAAGCAATCCTTGTTCGGAGTTATATGGTATGAGGCTGCAGTATCCGGAAACCACACATCCCCACGATGTGCCTTCTCAACTACGGTCAATCCGAGATCGTCTTCAGAACTGTTGTCCACTTCTGCCACGACAACTGAACCTTGTTTCTTCTGTTGCCCTTTTCTCCTGAGACAGTTGTACTTCCAATGCCCCACTTCCTTACAGTTGTGACAAGCATCACCTGGCTGTGGACTGAGACACTTGGAATTCTTGTTCGAATTCCCTTTACCAGATTTCTTCTTTCCCTTTCCACTTATAACAGCCAAACCCGTTGTCTCACCACCTGTACCAGATCCGGACGCCTTATGTTTGATCTCTCTCGTATGAAGAGTAGACCTGACATTATCCAACGACACGCTTTCTTTACTGGAATTAAAAGAATCAACGAAATTCTCATATGAACTCGGCAAAGAAACCAGCGAGACCCCTGACCAATCCAATCGTAGCGACTGATAGTCCGATTCAAGTCACATCAACAATATCATCGAAAGAACGGTTTATCCTTTCTCATTTTTGTTAGGTATATGTATGATGTGGGCCAAATCAAACTTTTCTATTAACTCCAAATTTGTTATGTTTGTGTGAACATGTACATTTTTTAGATCCTTTCGCAATTTTTTTTTTAGAAATATACATTTCCAAAGGGCATAATAACTTTTCATCATTCCTGTCTAGAATCAAACAAACCAAAAGCCATAGAAACCCTGTATATCATGTTTGTTAATGCTTCAAAACGTATCCTCAAATCATAATTTGAGATTCATTATTAGGGTGGTACGAAAGGTGGTCCGTGGCCAGTCCTTTTGAGTAAATATCTCACAAAAAGGTTAGGTTGGACCTTTAATAGGACACCAAAGACTTTCCAATGAATAAAATGCAATGGCTTTTAAAAATTATCTCCACATTATCCCTTTGATTAAACAGTTTTATTTGCTCCCCTTAATGATAGCATATCTTCCACAAACTATGCAATGGGAATCATATGGTTGTTCTCCCTCTTTGTACGGGGACAAGTGGATGAATCAAGGACCGTTATTGTAACCTTAATAAACAAAAAACGGGTATCATTCTACCTTATAGTAAACCAAAAAACTAAAAGATCAGATGGGTGGTGGAATATTGTCACCCTGCGTACCTCCAATTCGGCAATAATGGCTGGTGAAAAGTGATATTAGTGGAGGTGTTAATTAGCTATACTGATCGGTAATGGCGATCGATTCTACAATGCATACCCCACCGTCAATTTATATAATAATTGACACGCAGATACAAAATACATTTTAAGGTATTTAAATGTGAGAAGTATCATGTATGAGTTACGGTTGTTGCGATAACATATATTATATTAGAGTTAAAGAAGATGCAAATTCAAATAGCTGATATAGATTAAAGTAAATAATATAAACCATCAATAACTGTATATGATAGAGTTCTTACTTTTACTTTGTGTTTATATGTTCTTTATATAAAACAAGGGGCATTGTCATTTGGCGCAAATGTTCCGACTTTTTTCAAGTAGGTGCAAATTGCAATGGCTGATAAACTATGAGACAAATCCAAAATGATTCTTTTGACTCGATATACCAAGAACCTTAAATAAACTTAATTATGTGAATTTCATAATATATAATACGTAAATGTGATGTGTAAGAACGAATTTCAGAAGGATAAACAATAATTGAGTTGCTCACCTAATAGCTACAAGTATTAAGTTCTAACACAGTCATTAATCACACGAAATATAAATTACTGAAATTCCACTTTTCAAATTCTTCCCACCATCTAATTTCACAGTATGCGACTTGTAAGTTGTAACAGTGAGAAAATAAACAGGTACGAGTTACCACCGTGAGAAAAAAAAAAGGAGTGAATTAAGTCCACAAGGATACATAGAACACAGGTACGAGTTAACACCGTGAGAAAAAAAAGGAGTGAATTAAGTCCACAAGGATACATAGAACAGTTTTAGGGATAATTGGCTTGTGGAGTGAACTATCAATAAGGATCAGAGTGGCGCAGGAGAAGCATGGTGGGCCCGTAACCCACAAGTCCTTGGATCGAAACCAGGCTTTGATATGGTTTTTGGACATTCCATGTCTGTTCATTTCAGCAGAATTTTATGGCAAATGTATGTTTTTTTTACAAAAGATAATTATATATAGATTGAACAAATAGATCATTACATCCTGGAATTCAGCCAGACCTGAAAATCAAATAAACGACATGTAGTCGCGTACAAAGAAAGGGCCTTCCTAGCTACCAAATGAGCTACCCTATTGTTATGCCGACCTACAAATCGTACACTGAAACCCCTATTCATGTCAAAAGCCTGGACAACTTCTTCGAGGATCGACCCCACTCGATTATCCCGTGTGTCTCTCCGGAGGATCTTCTCTATGATAACATGGTCAAACCCCCTTGACCAACAGAACCTCTATAGCTAAAGTCATGATAACCATTCCACCTGCCGAATGCGACCCATTCCTTATCGCCCCATCCCACATACAAAGCACAGAATTCGACCCAATTGGGTCCGAGGGAGGAGAAGGGGGTTGAGGAACAGGAAGTGTCTCGTCTACCGGTAGATTAACCCACTCTTGGACCTGTTGGTTGTACTGTCGTATCAGAGCGGGAATCCCAAATTGTTTGCCTTCAAAGACAACCCAGTTACGAGATCGCCAAATCCTCCATAGGACAACAATAACCGACATGACCATACCTGGCTGATGAATCAAGGCTAACAATTTCTTCAGAAAGAGGGGGAAGGTATGACGAGGCAACCCTTCTCCAAGATGAGCAAGCCCAGAATGATCCCACAGGGCACGAGCTACCGGACACTCCAAAAACATATGTTCCAGGGTCTCCGAATATGCCCAGCACACGGGACATCTAGGTAATATTTCAACCTTCCTCTCAATCAGGGCCTCTGTGGTAGGTAAAATTATGTGAAAGATCTGCCAGACGAACACCTTAAGTTTTAGGGGAAAATTGACTTCCCATAATCGGATCCAGCTAGCTTTATCCATCCAACTAGCCTGAGCTCTCCATCTTCCTTTTTGTCGATCTAGATCGACCGCCAAATGTAGGCCTATTTGACCGAAAAAACCCCATAAAAAATGTTGATATGACTAGAATCGGACTATCAGCCGCTACGACGGGGGCAACGCCCCCGGCCCACGGTGTATGGGCTCAATGTTATTTGGGTTCGGGTTCTGGGCCTGGTCTGTAACCGTTTCCTTTGCCAGATTGGATTAGACTTAGACCCACATGGAGAAGTACTATAAATACTTCTCATACTCCTCTGTAATCTGTAATCTCCTCGATATAGTGAAACTGACTCTCTCTCGCCCGTGGACGTAGCTAACACACATCGTGTTAGTGAACCACGTAAATCGTGTGTCGTGTTTTCGATTCTTGCTTTCGTATTCTTGCTTTGTCGATTCCGGCGATTTCGCGATCCGTATCAGCGCGTTTATAACAAGAAACTTGAAGGAAATCCAAAAGTGAACGGTAACAGCAGTGATTCTATAGCAAGATTGGCAGGTATAGACTGTTGTTATCATCTTCTCGATGTTATACCATCTACAAGAACTGGAGAAAGCAATCACCATCATGCAGTCGCCATCATCTAGAGGTTTTGGGACAATTCCACCGACAGAGACTGGCCGACAGTGTCTATCTTCCATGTTTGTAGACAAGGCAAAAAGAGTGCCGTTGGATTTCCAGTGTACTTTGCTGCTCTTCCTGTGTTACAGCATTCAACCTTGTATCATTGTTGTCTCAGTTCCAAATCGCAGTGGGTCATAAATGAAAGTAACCATGCTAGCTATTCGCACAGGTAAAATGAGTCAGCTGTCACCATGTAAAGAGCAGCAGCATACGCAATCATGATCGAGAAGACAGTTGAATCAGTTATGAGTTATGACCAAATCTAGCACGACTGGAAGAAAATACACTCAGAGTATGAACTGCCTTCTGAAGGCGATCAAGTGGGAAGGATGACCCTATGAAACCAACATTGCAGGCCTGGAATTTGGAGATCCTAGCCAATCTTGGGCTTCACTGCCTTTCTTGGTCCCAACCTACGAGTGGGCTGAAGCCCAAACATCTGATAATGCAGGCCCAAATAGCCTTCCTTTCTTCCTTCCCGGTTCCCATACTACTCCAATTGCAAACATTTGGAATTCAGAGTTTCAGACTGGAAAAAGGAATCTGGTACGAGTAACTCGACTGTTGTCACTGCATCACTTGATTCAAACTGGTACTCAACGATTCATTGTGCAAGAGAAGAGAGCATGCATTCTCCCAATAGGTCATTCATTTTGCAGAACAAGACAAACAAAACAATATACCAGATGCTCTCCAAATGAGTCAGAACAAAGGCTCCGCAGTGAAAGAACAACAGAAGCTTTTCTATTCTAAGTCACATTAGATGACGTTTGTTTGGTTATAAAATGAGTAGTATAAAAAAGGTAATTAAGAAATTCGTTATGTTGGTCCGATCTCCGATGACTATATTGAGTCAAGTAACATCCGAGCCAAATCATAATATGTAGCAGCGTATCAATAAATTTACAAAAATTGATCCACTAACAGAGGGTAAAAGATTAAATAGAGGGTAATTTAGTCATTTTAGGTTAGACAGACCATGGTTTGAATATGGTTAGTAGAATTGGATGGAGAACTTAACTAATGGGCATGTTTGATAATATTATTATATTAGAAGGACAGATTTTATTTCAAAATTTGTATAATAGCATGTTTGAGAAAAAATACATAACTGAGTGGTAAATTATACCTATAACCCTTGTACTAAATCAACTGGCAATCAAATCGTAACAGATAGATATATCTACTTATATACCAATTCAATCCTGATGAGATTTTGAACGAATTTAGATTGGGTTTAAATATGGTCACTTCCACTTCAACCCCAAGGAAAACAAAGGCATTAAATACCATAAACTTGACTGTTCACAACCGAAAGAGGTGTGGGCTTGGAGAACACACATCATCGTCGGATTGAACCCAATTTGCCTGACCCGCGAAAGCAAACACCAAATTCAGGACGTCCACTAATAAGAACTTGCTGTCCTCGTCGTATTTCACACAAATATCTATCCAGCGGTGGAATAAGTTGCAGCCAAGCTCAGAGTGAAAAACAGAGCAAAAGAACAGAGCCAAGATGCAGAAGCAGCTACCTACCAACACAGCAATTCTAGCCTTCCTCTGCTCCTTCATCGTCATCTCCAACGCCCAGTCGTTGCCGCCGGCCTGGGCCGATGGGTTCGTATACGAAAACGGGCCGGTGGATCCGAACCCAATTGTGATCGAGGCGTTCTTCGACCCGGTTTGCTCCGACAGCAGAGACTCATGGGCGCCTCTCAAGCTAGCTTTGACCCACTACGGCTCTCGCGTCTCCTTGCTTCTTCACCTGCTCCCTTTACCGTCAGTAAAATTGTTGATTGGAAGTAGTTGAGAGAAGTGATTTCGATCTTGTTGATTTCTAAGGGAAAAACAGAGTGGTTTTTTTTTGTTTTGTTTGTGGCTACAGGTACCATGACAACGCATATGTTGCTTCTCGAGCTCTGCATATCGCAAACATGCTCAATTCTTCCTCCACATTCCCCTTGCTGGAGCAGTTCTTCAAGTATCAGGTGAGAAATACTGCATCTTCGTTTTGTTCTTGTCCTGTTTTCTATTTGAGCTAGCTGCAGATTTGGTTTGTTCCAGTGATTGGATAGAATGAAATTTACGGGGTCGTTAGCTTCTATTTGTTTGTCATGTTCATAAAACAAGGACCATACAATACGAATAAGCAAAATGTTGCCACAAATACAATTGTAATAAACGGAAAAATTCCGTTTAACATTTAACGTAAACACATATCGGTTACCACTTCATTATCCTTATTTTCAAAAGCAACATATGCATTGAGAAAATTTTCAGGACAAGTTCTATAATGACCAAACGAAGAAGCTGTCGAAAGCTTCCATTGAGAAAGAGGTGATTGAAATTGCAGCTGTGGCTGTTGGGAACTCCCTCCATGCTCAGTTCCAAGCTGCATTCGGCGACACAAGAACTGATCTCAAGACAAGGGTGTCCTTTAAGGTGAAACTCTTTTTCTCTGAGCCACAAATCCTGTAAAAAAAAAACTCTTTGTTCGTGTGTGTCAGCTTGTTGATGTTCATTTTCTGTTTGCAGTTTAGCACGTCGAGAGGTATTTATGGGACTCCGGCCTTCATAGTAAATGGGTTTGTGTTGCCTGGGGTTGGCTCTCCCATGGACTACAATGGCTGGCGAAAGATCATCGACCCACTGGTCGCCGCGGAGAAGGTTGAGGGCGACGAATTTGATTCGAAGAACTTTGAGAGAAGTGTTTATTTGTATAAATGAATCTGCTACTGATGTACAATAGTGATATAGTAATTATAAAATAGGAAGATGTTATATCCCGTATTTATCTATAGCAACAATAACTCAAGGGGGATGTTCCTATTCTATTGAATTGTTAAATATATTGTACCAACATAATATGTAATTCATTTCATAAAAAAAAAAAACACATAATATGTACTTCTGTTATACATGTAAAAAATTATAGTTAGAGAAAAATCAAATTACCTTATATGTAAATTTTTTGGATTTCAGGAACTGACCGAGGTCAAAACTGGTATAATAGTATTTGGAGAGATTCTATGAGTTGGATATTTCATATTTGCAATGAGTTAGAAGTATTTTTTATCGAAGTTCGAAATTTGAATTCAAAAGTATTGCAGATGTGTTTTTTCTTTAGTAGGTGTTTATTATTTACATCCAAAAAAACACCAAAAAGCCAATAAATCATAGGTGTGTCATCTTTTTGAACGTTTATAACTACTGTGTTGTTCAATATATTTTGAGCTGACAAATCACTAATTGACAATATTCTAAAGGCGGATACATCAACTCAGAAACGAGAAATTTGTCTTATTATTTTTTTATAAATAAATTATTTAATAATGAGTCCATTCGAATTATTTATTTAATCACCGAAAAAAAATATTGAATTACATGTATTTGCAATTGACTCAAAGTCAAAATAGATAAATTCAAAATTGCTCAAATCAAATTGATTTATTCAAAAAATTTACTGAAAAATAAGTCAATTAGATCTAATTATCTCATAACAAAGACAATTTAGTCAAATTGATCAAATTTTTCATCCAAATCACCTCTGTGCAAAATTCATCACCTAATTGGTCTTCAAAACTTTCCTAAATCCTTTAATAAAGTGATATCAGTATTATAAAAAAAATTGTTTATTTACCCTTTTTCATACAAGCACAAAAGATACCCATACCAAAAAAATGAATGTATTTGGACACTCAAAACCAACTCACCGCAAACCTCTGTGAGAAGAACATGGAGAAGCTCAATCTCTCTGCTTTGGCCTTCCTCTGCATCTTCCTCTCGAGTTCTCGGAACTGGATAACGATTCAAGCCCAGAGTTTGCCTCCAGCCAAGTTCGATGGGTTCCTCTACCGTAGCGGCCGGGTCGACCCGGACGCCATTCTGATCGAAGCTTTCTACGACCCAGTTTGCCCCGACAGCAGAGACTCCTGGCCTCCTCTCAAGCTAGCCCTCGATCACTACGGCCCTCGAGTCTCCCTCCGCCTCCATCTCCTCCCGTTGCCGTAAGTAATCATTTGATTTGAAGTTTTCTTTCCCAATTTTAGCTGAGGTTGCTGCTATGCCCACAAAGTGTTTGTTATAACTCCTCAAAGGGGTTTCAGGCTTCTGAATTCTGGTTTTGGGTCCTCCGCAGGTACCATGACAATGCGTATGTTGCTTCTCGAGCCCTGCATATCGCCAATTTGTTGAATGCTTCCTCTACGTTCCCGTTAATGGAGCAATTCTTCAAGTATCAGGTAAGGAGGAAATTAGTGCAATTTGTGGTGAAAGTTGGGAGTCTTTTTGCTTCTCTTGGAATTTGACCTCAATCCATGTCTAGATGTTCTGTATATTTATGCTCGGCCAATGACAAAACTGACTCTATATTGTATTCGATCGGGAAATTGTTCGCTTGTTGTCCTGAAATGTTTCTATCCAGAGCTGATGGCTCACTCAGCCTTAGCTGTTGGGTCTACAAGTTCAAGACTAGGAAAGAGTGTTGGCGTTGTCTAATGCCCATTGGTGAATGTTTATACTGCTGACTGATTTGGCTGCTTGAAACTCAGGAGAAGTTCTACAATGATCAGACGATCAACTTGTCGAAAGCTTCGGTTGTGAAACAGGTGGTCGATTTCGCTACTCCAGCAGTTGGGAACTTCCTTCACTCCGAATTCAAAACTGCGTTCAACGACAGAAGAACCGATCTCAAGACAAGGGTGTCCTTCAAGGTAAGCTCTCCACCCCTTTTTTTAAATCTCTTTGTTCATCTTTAGGCAAGTCTTCCTCCGTCAAGGTCCTATCCGTAGATACAGGGTGAATTCCCGAACATGGAGCTAGCTCCTACAAATGATGAATGCTTCTTTTGTTGTGTGCAGTTCAGCGCATCTAGAGGAGTTTACGGTACACCAGCTTTCTATGTCAATGGGTTTGCGTTGCCCGACGTCGGCTCACCCCTAGATTACAACGGCTGGAGAAAGATCATCGACCCACTGGTTTCCGCAAAGTTCGACAGCCGCCTCGATCTGCTGCATACCAAATTCTGAGACCCTCCGAATTTGAGATGAGATGCTTAGGCCTCTGATCCTGTTATTTTAACTTGAATAAATCAATAGCAGCCTTAATAGTTCATATCTTCCAGTAGAGATCAGAAGCTATCGTCCTTTCGTCTATTTATAAGCTAAAAGTTGCTGTGTTATATGAACCGACGTTGTGAAGAGATGATATTTGTTGCCAGCTTCGAATTTGCTGCAGCTTTCGCTGTGTCGATGGAGCTAGTGTATTGTCTGTTTACCTTATTAAGAACGCATCTACCAAGCCCAAGCAACCATCAATCACTTCTACAACCCGTAGCCAGCCAAGCACTGACACAGTTGATCGAATTTTGGCAAGATCGATTTAATGTAAGGTCATACCAGAAGAACTGAGTACAAGGATACAAGTGGGAGGAAAAGACACATACTTTAGATCGCAGTTAACCTAACAGTCGACCCAAAACAAGTTTGTTCAAACTTCAAACACAAAGGGAAATAATGAACAATAAAAGAATGCTTACCGTAACAACTTAAAAAGGGAGATTGTTACAGTGTTATTTGTTCAACCACAATCTAAAAAGACCTAAAACACAACAAATTTCAGACTACAAAGGATTAGTCTAAACTGTGGTTACACATATATGGGAAGAAAATGTCCTAACAGTTAAACACAGAGAATCTCTAACTTGCCACCAAACCGGCAAACAAGCGCGCGACAGAATCCCAAAATTTTGGAAAGAACAAACAAAAAGAGGATAATAACGAGCTGATAAAAACATTGCCAGGAGAAGAAAACTTCATTCAAGAGGGAGACCAGAATCCCCCAGTTGAAGACCGTAACGTCTCATTATCAAGCAGCCGCCTGGATTGCTGGTCCATTCGATCTACCTCCACCACGGCCCCTTCCACGGTATCCACCTCTCCCACGGCCACGCCCTGAGAAGGAACCACGAAGAAAAGTAAGTGTGAAATCAATCAGACTGGACATTACAAAAGATAGTAGAATAAGGTTACCACGGGCTTGAGGAGGAGCATCATAGAAGCCACCATCTTCCTGTTGTGGTTCAGCAGGAGGAGGACCATTATAAGCACCTCTACCACGGCCGCGGAATCCGCCACGTCCTCTACCCCGACCTCGACCCCTGCCCCTGGAATAGCCTTGTTGGTCCCAACCACCATCTTCGTACTCACCAGACACATATCCATTCCCTGAAAAAGATTGGGACATAATTAATAAAAAAGCAATTCAATGAAATGGAAATGTCTCAATGCACAGTATACAATAAGCATTAGGGTGTTTGGTACTACCTCTGCCCCTTGACCTTCCCCTGCCACCACGACCTCTCCCTCGGCCATTAGGAGATCCCTCTGCCCAAGAAAATCAGGTAAGAAAATAAAGAAAGATAGAAACAGAAGAAGACTTGGAGGAAAATATGAGCCGGTTGTACCTCCTTCATATTCATAATCTGTTGAGGCTTTCACCTGGTCTTCAGGTAAAGGGGGCTGATACCTGAATGGAACAGCAGCATGTAAGAATAGATAGATACGAGTAGTAGCAAAATATGCCAAAAATGGCTACTATTAGTCACTGGCGCAACGACCACACCTAGGAGAAGGATCTAACTACTGAGGACATCAACAATAACCAGATGCAGTAAATTTTTTGCCACAATAGGAAACTGTTATAGCTTGGAGAAAAGCCAACCAAAGGCTGCAACATGTCCGAACTAAACAAACTGTCAACTGAACAATGCATCTATTACCTAATCCCCGATCCTAAAACCTCTCAATGTAGATTCCAAAACAGTAGAGAGATGGCTATACAATATGAATGGATAGATAAATTTTGGAACCGGGCCTAAAAAGGGATACACATCACAAGTTTAAACAAAAAACATTGTGATTTCACAGCTACAATAAGCTCAAAATGAAAAACATAAAAGGACTCACCAAACAGTTTGAAAAGATACATCATAGACACAAAACATTCCTTTGATCATAATCAATTAAACTCACCCAACAGAAGCTGTATCCAATTCCTTCTTGGAAAGCGTTATTGTAATCATTGACACATGCCTTGTAGTCTCCAAACTGCATAAGAATACGGGGTTGGAGGTCAAAAACCAATAAGGTCATGGCAAAAAAAAAAAAAAACCCCAATTCATGTTTGGGAAAGTATGTCCTTACGGAAGAAGTCCTTCCTCGAGGGGCTCCCAAGTATCTGTTATATCAGTGGACCCAATTGATGTAATTTGATGAAGGCCAACGATCCTCCTCTGTATTACAAGTACAAAACACATGTCATCATTCTTTACTCCAACTTAGACAAGACCATGCAACTTACCTTAGCAATTAGTGAACTCAAGAACTGAACAACAAACCTTGATAAGTTCCACTATGGTCACGGTCTTATTGATGGCCCTTCCCATTGCCTTGAATACAATTTCATCTGCACCTTTCTCCTTCAGAAAGCATTGAGCACTGTTATTGAAGTCCCTCTTCACGTAATTTGTTACAAAAGAGCCGATTCATATCATTCCCATATCGAAAAGCATCAGACAGGTGCTCGGAAGGCTAAGTAAGTGATTCATATCATTCCCATATTTATTACTTAGTCAACAAATGTCATTTTGTCCACTAAACACCACTATTAAGCCTAACAATTGAAGCTTCCAAACAGCTAGGCCCTAAACAACCTTGAATATGGCGCCGCAACCTCTACTCCCTAATTCTCAGTAATCGTTCAAACACGCCGCAGAAGCAGAAAACACAAACAGGCCAAACTTACACCGCACAACGGCCAAAAACAGAGCGGGAAAGCCAAACCAGAGACGCTGGAAGAACAGACTGATAGTAAAAAATTGGAGAAGCGTAAACAGCGAATCCATACTTGAAGCAGGCTCATGGCATAGGAGATATAGCTGCGCATCCTTCCCTGGCTAGTAATTCGAATCTCGTTCTCATCGATAGGAGTCTCAGCTCTCGGCTTCTCAACTCTCTGGTACCGATCCATCTGCAAACACAGTGAAAACACAACATCACGAATCGTCAGCGAGACAGACGAAGAGACGAATTCACAACAACCGGGAACAGGAACAGTGAATCGGGGAAGTGAAGCAGCTTCTGGGCAAGAGACGAACCGGGCAGTGATGGAGAATGAGAAGAAGAACCTAGGGTTTGGTTGAGGGGATCTGGGGGAGTCTGTAAATCCGCGTACCTTTGGAAAGATTTTCTGAGGAAGATAAAGTTTGGTCGCCCGAAAAAGAGCCCTCTTCTACGGCTACGTTTCTTCTTTTACGCCCTAAAACCCTCTTCCGGGCGCTTCTGCTGCAATTTATACCCTAGCAACTTCTCTCCCTGCGAACCAACTGCCCTAGCCGAAAGAGAGGACAAAAAAAATACCGGGAGCGGGTTGCTCGGGCTTTTCCCGGGCCAAACCCGCCAAATTTGGACTACGAAGTGCGGCCCTAAATAGAGTCATGGAGTGGGCTTCAGCCTGCTTCTCATTGGGCTTGCTACAGCCGACATCCTTTCTTTTACCAGGAAAGAAAAGCCCAGAAAGACAGCGGCGGATCCAGTACATAGTAGAGCACTGAGCCGCATTTCATTAGAAAACTAGATGCCGCAAAAAATTATAATTTTTTTTACAATATCAATTGTACACGTCGATCTTTTAATATAGCAAATTCATCAATAAAGGAGTCTACATTCATACTAATCGCATACTACTCTTTTTTCAAATAAAATAGTTAACTAATCGGTGAGAAATTCATCGCTCATTTTGTTGTGCAAATAATTTTCCCCCCTGTTCCATTGTTGAAAAGGTTCTCTCCATAGTAGCTGTTGAAACGGACAATGTCAACACTAGACAAATCAATCGATTAATCAATTTATATTGTGTATCCATCCCTATTTCTACCATCTGCTCTAGTTATTTTTCAAGTGAACAAATCTCATATTTCTTTTAGCCTTATGTTTTAGACTTTTTGCATTTTAGGTTTCATTGTTTGTTTTTCTTTAGACGAGACTCATTTGAGCTAGAATTTCTAGACTAAATTTAGAGTTATGATTTGAATATGTTCATCTTACCCATTTTCCTAATTACACACAATTTTATTATAAATAACACTAGCCCGAATTACTAAAATGGATAAATGCATAAGGGCTATACTAGTTCCGGATGCAGAGAAGGGCTGGGTCGTGGCCCGAGGTAGGGGTGGCTATACGGTCTGGTCCGGTAAAACTGGACCGAATTGATCTGGTCCCAGTTCGGTCTTTTCGGGAATATAAGAACCAAAGATTGGATTGGATACAGTCCGGTTTTAATCCGGTCCGGTCCCAATTTGATCTTGATTTTAGATTGAGTTTGTGGGGATTTGAGTGTTGGGGTCTCTAATCCGGTCTTTATCCCGGTTTTTTTTACCTCAAATCTAAGCCCGAATATGAAATTGGATTGTTTGCTATCTGGTTCCAGTCAGGTCCCGGTCCAGGTTATACGTTCCGGTTTCGGGTAAAACCAAACAATTCGGACCAAATAGCCTGCCCTAGCCCGGGTGTCCACCCCCGATCCGCCAATGCAGAAGGATGAGATCAATATTGGCAAATTGGAGCGTTTATAAACATATATGTTGTAAAATTTTGTATGCAGTTAAAAATCTATGAGTGAATTGTTACCTACCTTTGTCGGCCGAGCTCAAGTATGCAAACACAAATACATTTCAATATTTATATTAAACCGGCAAAGATGATTTAAGTATATACTATATATAGATAATAGTTTCCCGAATATGAACAAACAATGACATGTTTGTGTGTTGAGGAAAATTACAAAGTACAGAGTTTGGCATTTAAACCATACGCTTCATGCACGTGGCTGTGTTTGTTTGCAGATCCATCTTATTTATTTTCTCTTGGCTGGGGAAAATAATTTTATTTTTGCATTAAGTAATGATGAGGATTGTGCTTTGTAGCATTAATTTGTCCTGCAAAAGAAAAGAGAAAGGTTAGGACTGGACATGTGCATCAATACAAATAGGTCCACCATTGAAGACACTCTTTAGGGGATAATGATTATAAACAACCCACCAAGGTATCGAGTTCACCAGCTTTTTATTTATACATGCTAATGAATAATGATTGCTTCATAATAATCATCCAACCAGGCAAACACACTAGCTAGTATCGTGAGATTTGAAGTTTATGATTAGCTTGTATTTTGCACAAGTATAATCATACAACGTATTTCAATATCAATAAAGAAAATATTTGAAAAAAATTATCAATTTATCTAAAAAATTTAGCGTATATTACCCTATCGAATATCAATAAGTTCTTCCTAATATCAATCGTAACAAGAGGAATTTCACAGCGCTATATAACATTGGTGCTATAGGTTTTTGTTTTTATGGTACAACTACAAGTTGTAACTTTAAAGTTATAGTACAACTTTTAAAATTGTACATATACAATTTTGTACAAACATTTTTATAGTACAACTTGAATTTATACCTTTATGTGATGGTACAACTTCTTTAATGGTACAACCTGAACTTATATATTTAGCGTTATGGTACAACTTCAAACTGTATATTAAAGCACCAATACTTTATAACATAGTAGAAGTACTCTCGAAATCATGCCAAGCGAAACCAAAATATAGCAATCTAATTTTCGTAATTCAACCATATTCTATAGATTCGATACACATTGAACAAAACCATGACTCCTTACAAAATTAAACTTACTCGCGAGGAAAAATCATACCACATGTCCATAGGCGGAGGGAGTAGGGTTTGTGATGTGTCCTAGGACACCGGTAAGTTTTAGTAAAAAATTAATACATCCCTATATATATTTATGTAAAGGATAAAATATTCAAATTCATCACATTAATATAGTATAAAAAGTATTTTTACCATTACAATGAAGCTCAAGTTTTGTTATTTGATTGATATAAAATTAATTTATACGCTATAAATGAAATCTTCAATTGAAATAAATCTCTATTTGTATTCTTTTTTTCTCAATTATCCTATTCAATTTTGTCCAAGAACTATGAAGTCTAAACATAAGCCTCTGCTACTGGGTTCTCCCTTTTCTAGTCCGCTAGTTTCCATTCAATTTTAATTATTAAATAATTATTTCAATATATATATATATATTTTTTAATAACCGGACACACCTAGTTTTACAACCTGGATTCGCCACCGGGCATGTCTCAGGCTCTCAGCCTCGTTAATATCGTTGTTTACCTCTGAGTAATTGTCCGACGCCATGTTGATCATAAGTTCATAACGAAAGATGGATGCAGATTAGCACATTATAAATGATCATACCCGACACGGAAGAACATTGATCACGCGCGTTTGACAAGAGCTTTCTGTACGGCTTGTAGTTTTTACTTGTGCAGAACCAGATCCCATGAGCTTAATTAATTCCCAGAAGGAACCAGACAGGTTGTTTCTTTGCCCAACGTCGGTGCATTATTATTATTATTATTATTATTATTTTTTTACATTTTGATTTTGTTATATCCAGACTCGACAGTGCTGCATGCATTTCCTGCCAGACGTTAATGAGCTACATTCTCTATTTTAACCGCAGGTCTAATCTAAATTTCAAATTTTTTTTTTTATGAAGATCAACGCTAAAACTATATCTACGGTCCTACCAAAAAAAAAAAAAAAAACTATATCTACGGTTGCGATAGAATTGTTGGAAGAGATTCAAGTATGGATCGCATACCAGTTATTAACAGTGGTGTTATTTTTACATGTCAGTTCAAACGCGAAACCCGGCTCGTGAGCATTAAGTTTGCTTAAGCATGATATATTTTATGTTTAAATCAATTGTTAATAACAGTATCACGAAAAAGTCGAACACAATACCTCTTGATGATTACACACTCTCACACCATATCAAAAAATTTATTGATACCAATAACTCGAGTTATTTGTAGAAGATTAATCTAACCATCAAGGTACGTACGAGGTTTTAACCATTTCATTTGGTATATGCAAGCAGAGTAACCAACTCTGTTATCAGGGATGACAATTTCGACCTGATCCGTTTTACCCGATCTGTCTGGTCTGTTTTGGTGTGGGTTCGACCCGTCCCGTAGGCGGGGCAGGGCGGGCATGTGTACTCTCATCGACCCGACCTGCCCTGACCCGCCCCATTCTTGATCCATTCTTGCCTAAATTACTTGTAATCTTAGTCAAATTACTTTGAATTTTCCTTTTATTACATCATATTTTAGCTATACTAAAGTTGTAAATGAGTGAAAACCTCATTTTCTCAAATAATTTAACTACATTTATCATAATATTGTTTGTTTTCTTGGTCTTATAATAAAAATAACGAATATTTCTAATATTTTTCATATAAATTGTATACTCATTAGGTCGGCCTGCTCGACCCATAATAAATTATCCGACCTGCCACGGGGCGGGTCTGGGCAGTGGCGGACCCAGAAATTTTATATAGGGGTGTCCTCTTTCAAAAAGTAAATAATAATAAATATAATAACTAATAAATATTAAATAATTCTTGAATAAGAAAATAGCCAACTCGTACAAGTTAAAAAAAGTTCATAAGTATTTTCATATTCTGAAAAAATTGTAAAATACACTTGGTGTCTACACTGCTCAACAAAGTTGTCTCGGTATATCCTACTAGACAATCATTCACGAACAAATGCGTATTCGACTTCTAAATTTGTTCTTGGTGTAACTCAAAGTTGAAAAGACACTTTCAACACTTGTCGTACACCCATAAATTAAGGGTAGCTTGTAATTAGATTAATTGTTAAGTTTTGAAAATAATTATAGATAGAGACTAGGGTTTTTGAAGGAACTATGATTCTGCGGTAACTTGTGATTAACGTAGCCAGATAGATTAGAAAGAGGTTTAGAAATTGAGAAAAATAATTAGGGGTTTTGAGAAGAATAATTGGGAAATTGAGATAGGAAGAATAGAATTGGGAATTAGGGATTAGGAGAAGAAGAGGGATAAACTGAATAGGGTTTGATTATTGATTTCTGACCAAATCCAACGTAATGACTCAAATACATATTTATAGGAAAATAAGCCCAAAAATCTAATGATACCCTACTAATCTACTTGGCACTAATCGGCTGCCTAATCCCCTAACCACCCCAATATTTATGTTTCCTACAATTTTGCTATTACACAAGTGTTTAGAATAGAACCACAAAAAAATTTGTAGCCTAATGAAAATTATATTTATTAATAGTAGTAGTGTCCCGGGTTTGAATTACCTAAACTACCACTTATATTCCCATCCGCAAACTACAAACGAGAGTAGTATAATGATTTTTTTCAAATTTTAGGGTGTCCCGGACTATTAATTTTAATTTTTTTCTATACGTAAATTACCACCGAAAGTTGGATAATTGTTTTTTCAAAATTTAGGGGTGTCCGGGGACACCCCCAAACCTCCCTGGGTCCGCCCCTGGGTCTGGGTACCAAGAAACCCGCCCCAAACCTGTCCATTGTCATTCCTATCTCTTATCCATGAATATAATAAAAGTTAGAAGGTATGTACTATTGCATAAGAGTTATATTAATGTGACAGGTTGGTTGTTTTTGTTTTGCTCATAGTCATTTTTTTTGTTAAAATCGGAGCGCTTCATGGGCGCCCCAACCCTTATCTATTAATAAAACGAGGAGTTGTCACCCCAATCAAATCAAAGTACAGCCAGTAATTCATGAGGTAACATGGAGTCGGAAACGAATGGTCTCCCAAAGAAAAAGTGTGACCGAGGGAAGCTAGATAGTCAACTACAAAGTTTGCTTCCCTAAAAATATGCTCAATACTAACCTGTCATGGCAAAGATATCAAGCATTTAATCTCCCTCACAACAACAAAATGTGGGTGGTTTGGTTGAGCTGCTCACAGTCATTCTTTGATTGGTCTATTGCTAATTATTATTTTTTATTTATGATTTTGGAAAACCATGATGAGAGTTTGAGTTTTATTAAAATGAGTTCCTGTAATTTCCCCCTCTTACTTACACAACAAAAAGTGGGAAAATGTCGTTCGTTACTCCAACCAGAATATCGATTTATGTTAACAAAAATAAAAAATTGTAAAATCATATCGAAGGTCATACCGGAAAAGTTAGCATTAGTGTATTTTGTGCTAAAATTATAACTCAACAGTAGTTAAATCAGGCTTGACATGTTGCTCCAAACCGAGCCTCGATTTATGTTCAAAAAAACTAAAAATTGTAAAACAATAACCTAAAGTTCGTACCGAAAAAGTTAGCATTATAATATTTTGTACTAAAATTGTAGTTCATCCGTGGTTAAAATCAAGCTCGACACGTTGTTCCAACCCGAGCCTCGATTTATGTTCAGGAATTTTTTTTTTGTAAAATCATACCAAGGTCGTACCGATAAAGTTAATTTTGGGGTATTTTCTGCTAAAATCTTACTTCAATCATGGTTAAATTAGATTGAACCCGAGCCTCGATGCATGTTTAGAAAAAAATATGTAAAATCATACCGAAGGTCATTACCGGTAAATTTATTATTAGGGTAGTTTGGACTAAAATCGCAGTTGAATCAGGCTTGACACGTTGCTCAAACCCGAGCCTCGATGCATGTTAAGAAAAAACCAAAAATTGTAGAACCACACCGAAAGTCGTACCGGAAAAGTTAGCATTAGATAATTTTGTGCTAAAATCATAGTTCAGCCGTGGTTAAATAATTTTATACAGCCAAAATCACTTACCGATTTAGATTCTGTTGTGAGTTTTTCTATTGGACCGCCAATACGGTACAATGGTAGTTCAATCGTGGTTAAATCATTACATACAACTAAAATCATCTGACTATTTAAATTCTATTAGAAAAATTTCTATTATATTGCTGCTAATAACACGATAAAAATTAAATACGAATTAGCAAACTATACTTCTAATTTTATAAGAAGCCACAACAAAGCGCGCCACAAAATGTACATGATATATATGTATAAGAAAAATAGCATTCACTATCAATATTTCATTAGAAAGGATGAGACAAGAGATTGGATTGCATCTGCGACCGTCCTCGATACCGAATTTGTCCATTCCTCTGCATTCTCAGCACCTAAACGTTGTCGGATGATTGGTCCAGTCCACGGTCTAGCATGTGCTTTTGGTCCATCACAATCAACTCTCATCAGTTTTATCAACTAGAAAATACATATGCACACCGATCCACACCAACCGCCTTTATAACTCCAAACAGATACCGTGCTATTGCTAACTAGCTAGGGTTGGGGATGAATTTTTCATCTATCTTCGTAACTAAGAAACTCATTCCTGTTGCATTGGGTTGGGGCATGCCAGCTTTCTTAAATATTTTGTATTTGAAAAGTGGTGAGTAATTTGTTGAAAAATCCGTCTTCAACAAAGTTTAATCTTCGTAGATATCCGGCAAATCCTGAGAGTATTTAATGCGAGTTTTATAGTCCTCTCAGTGACCATCAAAAAGGTAACGCATAAGTAGCGGCTGCTAAAGATCGAATCCGATCCAAAACTTTCTGGGCACATATCTGCGCTTTTATACAATCACTTATCCATAAAAGAAATTTCAACAGAAACGATGATGATATACCTCTTTATCTTTAAGTTCATCCTAATTTCACAAATAAAAATTGGGTTCAAGTTATTGGGACCCTTTTGTGCATATACTCCGCTGTCTTTAGTACCTTCAGTGATTCCTATACCTGTCATGTTCCTTAGATTATTACAAAGCGTTATTCAACCTCGCTTCTCCTTTGGTCACCTTAACGCAGTGGCAGAGCCAGGGGGTATTGGGGGTGTCGGGTCATGGGACACCCCTAATTTTTGGGATAACGATTATCCAATTCCCGGTAGTAGTTTTCGCGTGGATAAAAAAATATAAGTGGTAGACTAGGTGATTTAAATTAGGATACTAAGATTATTAGTAAACATGTTTTTCATTAGACCACAACTCATTTGTTATTGTATTTTAAACACTAGTTTAATAGTAAAAATAATATTCCTTCTCCCAATTATTTTGAAAATCTAACAATTGAACCTGATTACGGGTTATCCTTATTCCCTCCATTCTATCATATCCATTGGTTTACTTGCTTCTCAAAGTAATTGATTTTATCGATTGCAACTGCAGGTGTTGAAATAACATATTTAGTTTTGGGAAACTTTAAGAACAAGTTTCGAAATTGATTAAATGATCAGTTTGTGAATGATTGTATAGTAAGATGAAGATATTTGTTGAGTCGTCCAGACACTGAGTATATTTTGTAACACGCCGTAGACTTTTCTTGTAACTTGTATTAGTTAGATATTTTATAATTTAAAAATATTTAATTTTTGATAAAGGACACCCCTATATAAATTTCCTGGCTCCGCCACTGGGCAGAGCCATTTTAAAAACAAAAAGGTTATAACTCACTCAACTTTCAAATGTTCGTAAAGATACATATATAAAATTTGAAAAAAATAGTATACATAGTAAACTAGATTTTACATTTTATTTTTACATCAAAAGGTTGCAATATAGCTTTAACTTTTATGAATCCACAACATTTGTTTTGATTGTTTTATCGGTATTGCAACTATTGTAGTCTACATTGTCACAACATATTAATGGAGCCTCTTGTGTGACTCTAATGTAGATTTGTGAATTTGACAAATATAAGCTAATTTTTCAACTAAATAATAAATATTAAATTAATTATGTTTAGTTATTGATGCAAACAATATATATATTTTTAAGTCAAAACATTCAAGAAAAATATAATATTCTGGCTAATGCTATTATAAACCTATGTTAAAACTTGCATAATCTATTATGTCCACTCGTTATGATTCATGTTATGATTCATGTATCTCATTTTGGCTATGCATTTGGTGGATGTTTATAAATTCTATTTTATTTTGAAATGATGATTTATACAATCTCAATGTTAGATCTAATGTAAAGATTTGCCATTTTGGCTATGCCCTCACAGATGTTGATGACTTATTCAATTTTTAAATGATGGCTTAAATTCCTAATGTTAGAACTTATATTGGTTATCAATCAACAATGTGGAGTGGAACGGTTACTAACTGATGATTCCCTGTATTTGTACTAACCTTTATGCAAATTAATTATCTTATACAATATATCTCATGCATTTTATTGCATATAAATGATCAAGTGATTTGAACAATCTTAAAATATGTTAAAGCACTTTTGAATTTAGACTGTGCCCATGTCTTGTTAGTAAATAACCTTAATCAAGTTAAAAAATTAATTTCAATAGCAATAAAAAGGAAAAAGGTTTTACTTGTGAATGAACTCGGAGAAGACAAACATTGCCAAATAACAAACCCTAAACCCTAAATATTTCACATATCAATATCTTAATTCCATATGTTTCATAACTCTCAATTTCCCATATCATCTTACCAACACACAGAGCAAAAGAATCTTAAATATCCATTTTCTCTATAAATTTATCAAGCGGGAAGATAAAACATTACGGTTACAAAGTTGTCATCCGAAGGGATGTGGGCCCCACACACGTACGATTCTCCAACTACTTAGTCTTCGACTTCACGGACTCGGCAAAGCGATTGTAGATCATGGCATTTGACAGGGGCGGAGGAGGAGTCGCGGGACTCGGCAGGAGCCGAGAAGGAAGAGGATCGGCTGGCAGATAGAGCGTCGGGTGAAGATTGCAGTGGGTGAGGCGACCGTCGAGAGTGAGTGAGTATTTTCTTCGACGCCATGCCTAGAGGCTAGAGGGATCAGACGTTTTCCCATGGTGGCGGTAGTCTACGGATTGCAATTGATAGGGGGAGGACGGAAGAAATAAAAAAGGTGTTGGCTAACAAACATAGAAAAAGGAGGCTTTGTTTTTCTTCTCCGTCTTAAGATTGGATGAGAAGAAAGACGATTTTCACAGCCTAAATTGAAATTCAAAAGTGATTTAATATATTTTAAGAAGATAAATGCATTAAGATGGGGAAAAAATAAAAAATAAGAAAAGAACCGAAATTTGCGGAGAGGGCTGGGAATTTGAAACGAAAGATGTGGTTTTGGGAAAACGCTTAAAGGTTTCTTTAGATCTTTAGCCTTCGCTTTAGAATAACCATAATTCAAATCGCTTTAATTTAAATTTTATATCCACTTCATTTCAGACTTACGACTCCATGCACCGCTCGTATAGCAATGGCAAACATCTAAAAATCTTAGCCCATGTTGTAGTTCAGATCATACAAACTAAGGATAACGTAGTACCAACTCATATCACCTCACCGGCTGGCTGTTGTTCTTTCTTCTGCGTCAACAATTAACCAAATACTCAGAGAGCCAGAGGATCATGTGAGTTCGAGTAGCCCACAGAATATATAAATATATATATTATAAATTTATAACATGGAACAAAGAAAACGTCAAATAAAGGCAAATGACCATGTGGTTCAAGGTAAGGCCAGTCCATTGGTCAGGAAATGATCCTCATATCATATTCCTTCCCTCCAAGTATACTTAATGCAGTTCAATCAGAATTCATTAATGACAACCTAATGTACGATAGTTGTACAACTAAATCTCTGAATCGATCAAGTTAACTCAAAGGTTTGAATATGTGGCTCAAGAGTTTGACCTGTATTTTTTTAAAGATCACTAATGAAGTCATTTACGACGTTGATTTCAGTATGGAAAACAAAACATATTAAACATAAGTGATAATCTTTCTGTATGACCAAAGATCTGAGTAATAACGATCAAGATGGAGATTAAAGGGCTCACTTGGTCGACATCAGAGAAGGTCTGCTTGGGTGGGGAGGGATGTGATTATGTGCATGATGACTCTCTTTCAACGTATTTGGAAAGTAATGAAACTGGGTCGTGTTTGATTTTACGCTATTTAATTTTCGTGCGTTAATGAAAAAGAAAATCAAAACAGAACTCACTGTCATTGCCATACGAATCAAAATTGTTGGGAAATGAAAAAAAAAAAAAATGAAATCAGTGGGTGGTGGGGATTTGAAATTTTCACGGCTTTCATGTTGAGATGAGGGAAAGGCATGTGAGTTTGGAATGGGAAATGGCGGTGTTTGTGTCATTGTATGAGAGAGAGAACGTGCAAATAATTGATCTATGAATTTATTTCATAGATGGATCAATCTCATTGCCAGAGATAAAAATTCAGAAAATATTAATAATATTACAAACCCATTATTAGAAAAATATTAATTATAAATAGAAATTCCCCACAAACCCAACTTGCCTGCATGCTACTTCCAATCAGCCACACTGCCACTGCCCTTTTTTTCAGACCTTGCCATGTGAGTTTGTTCTTATTGAGTTAATGTTTTTGTAGCTATTAAAAGCAAAAAAAAAAATAAGAGTCTCCTCAAAAACTTCCCTTATTTATATGGTTCCTCCCTTTCTCTGGATCAGCCATACAGTTTGTAAATACCAAGCCTCAAAAGAAACCTCTGATTCCCTCTCTTACTCTCTCTTCCTCTGCTGCTGAACCAAAACCCAACTAAGAATGGCAAAGCAGCAGCTGGCCATGGCCATGGCTATGGCGTTTCCTCTTCTATGGGCTCTACTCTGCATCTCTCTGGCTCCCACTGTCGCCAATGCCTTCACTGCTTCCGCTTGGACCAAAGGCCACGCCACTTTCTACGGCGGTGGCGATGCCTCCGGGACTATGGGTAAGTTAAAAAAAGATCGAATCTTTCGTGCGAATTTCATCACGTGGTTTTATTTGTAGTCTTATCTGTGCTTGTACATAAAAAGTTGTTGCGATAAAATGTTATATGTCCCAATATCTCTGAGACATGTTAATCTAGTTACTTGGCGGGTTTTTATTGGTATATGTTTAAACCATAGAAATAATATAAGATTTTTAATGATATATAGTTGTATACAAAATACATTTATTTGCAAATTTATGTCATCTTTGCCTAGAAATGAATATGTGAATGTTGGATTCATCATTCATCACTTTTCATACTTGTTGAGTCTTTGGGCTGATAGGTATATAGTCTTAGTAATTTATAATTAGGATGGTTTCACTTTTAATTTATTTACCATTTTTCATCATAAACAAACATCGTGTGATTGAGGGATTTGTCAATCTTTCTCAAATTGCTTCTTCAATTTGGCAGGAGGTGCATGTGGGTATGGCAACCTATACTCGAGTGGATATGGCACAAGAACGGCTGCCCTAAGCACGGCTTTGTTCAACGATGGTGCCTCATGTGGAGAGTGTTACAAGATTATATGTGACTATAATACAGACCCTAGATGGTGCATTAAGGGCAGGTCGATAACGATCACCGCAACGAACTTCTGCCCTCCGAATTTCGCTCAGGCCAACGACGCTGGTGGTTGGTGCAACCCGCCATTGAAGCACTTCGACATGGCTCAGCCGGCGTGGGAGAAGATCGGGATCTACAGAGGTGGAATCATCCCTGTTATGTACCAAAGGTAGGGGAAGGAGGAGAATGGGAAAATTTTGATTTGGTACTTAAGCTTTTATTATCTTCATAATTTGGTCACTTTTATTTGGAACTCATTTTGTGTTTCATGTTTAGGGTGCCATGTAAGAAGCATGGTGGAGTGAGGTTCCAAGTCAATGGGAGGGACTATTTCGAGCTGGTGACCATCACCAATGTGGCGGGAGCTGGATCGATTAAGTCGGTTTCCATCAAGGGTTCGAAGACAGGGTGGCTGCCCATGTCGAGGAATTGGGGGGCAAACTGGCAGTCGAATTCGTACCTTAACGGACAATCCATGTCTTTCCAAATCACAACTACCGATGGAGAGATGAGAACGTTCAATGATATCGTGCCGGCTAATTGGGGGTTCGGCCAAACTTTCTCGAGTAGATTACAGTTCTAAAAACGTGAAGGCTCGGGATAGTATTGATTCGATCTAAGAACTCATAAGGATTTTTCCAGAAAATTTCTTTATAGTTTGATTTTGGCTGAGGCGTTGCTTATACTTTTACAAGGAGCTGCCCGCCTTGCGACTATGAGTCCATGCGCTTGTGCGAGTGACTTTAACGTCGTAATACGTGAACCCAATGAAAATTTCGTTGAAGAGAAATTGTGGGTAGGGATTTGGTTGGAGCAGATTGATGAAAAGTTATAATAAGGGCATTGGAATTGCAGAGTTTGCAAGTTAGGTTGTAATTTGTATTTTCCTTTTTTACATGATATGAAACGGTTTCTAGCTTTGTTTCTACTTTTTTCATTGGTTTTTGTTGTCTTTCTGGTTCTATTTGAGGTAATTGTATTGATGAAATTGAAATGTTCATTTAATAATTGATTATCCCAGCTACTCCTGAAGCCAATGAATGAAGGTTTGATGCACTTCAGTAATGTTAGCTGTTCTAAAAAAAAAATGGATTGTATTTAGAGTTTCGATTTTAAAATTATTTCCAATCAACTCATCTATATTTGATGTATATCTCAACAATATTATATAAATGAAGATAAAACAACACTTATATCAATTAGTTCTCACCATCGATCTAAAAACCGGTCTTAAACCATACAACCAAGTACATCAGAGAGTACAAAATTGATTCCACAAATCTACTCCTGGTCATAAGCCGTATTACAAGCCGCAGGAAAATACTCAACTTTGGGTAGTGAATTTGTTTTTAACTCATATTTCATGGAAAAGGTTGCACATAAACGAAAAAGTGAAATTCATGGAAAAGGTTGTGAGAACGAGGGGGAAGGAAGTGGCCGAGGATTTGTTGGGCTAATACTGTACGGATTGGTAACTCATTGGGCCTGGAAATATGATGGTGTGGGCGGCTGGGCTCGACTAAGCCAGCCTTATCCAAATGAGAGAAAACGAGTTACCTGATTTGAAACTTTGTGAGGGAACGGATCAGGTCAGTAATCCTATGGTTAGTAAACATGAGTAATTGTCCACATCAGTATGACATCAGTATCTTCTCTCTTGCAAAGTCTTTTATTTATTCCTTTTAATTTTTAACAGACGATTTCTCTGTCGTTTTAAGTCGAAATTTAATTTTATTGCACAGATAAATCAGATTAAATATGCTCTTTAAAATGATATCCACTTTGATATATTTTTAGTACAAAAAAATTGAATATTTTTTTACTAGTCATTACCATATGGTATGCTCCTATTTAATACCATATGGTAGGACAGCGTACCATGATGGTATGAGTATACAAATATGGTAAGAAGGTTGAATACATAATATTAGGAGTATACTAACTGTCATTTATGACTTTCATAATTGTTTACTACAAGTTACCACCCACATACCATAGTGGTAAAGTATGATAATTTTTTATCGAGTATATTTTTCACCCAGAAATTTATAGATCCAATAGATTATGATGAACTCGTTCCTTCTGAACAAACGTTTTCAAAAATGACTTAAAAACGAAGAAGTTACCATATGGTATATGTAGTTGGTAAAAAAAAAAGTTTCTCGAAATATATTGAAAATTGATCTCTTTTTTTAGAGCACAACGAACTCGTTCCATCTGTGCAAAAAAAATTGAAATTCGAGTTAGAACGAAGAAGATAAGAGTCGATTAATAAAACTAGGGAAAATAAAATGCATTTAATTGACAACCCTTAGATCTGAATTTTCTGGACTCACTTAAATCTAAAGGTCCAGATTTAGTTACTCATAGGTCAGTAACCAATGGTTACTGATCCTATCCTAAGCCCTTAGTGAGGATGGACGAATCTTGGCTCAAGATAGGGCGTATAACCCATGGTTATGCACTCATCAATAAGTAAATCTGGACCCTTCATTTAGAAAATCCAGATCTAAGGATGAAGAATTAAAGATCATTTTTATTTTCCTTGGCTTTCTTAATCGACTTAAATCTTCTTCGTTTGAACTCGGATTTTAATTTTTTTTTTTTTGCGCAGATAGAACGAGTTCTGTAACATCCCGAACTTTTTCCCGACAAGATACTGTCCGCTCTGGGCCTCTACACCCGCACGGATTTCGACTTGGGGTGCAATTCAAGGTGACTTCCCATAAGGTCACCCATCCTTGTTGTACTCCACACTGAGCACGTTTAACTTCGGAGTTCTCAGAAGAACTCCTCCATTACACCCCAAAACACGTCTTGTCAGTTAAGGCCGGTTTCCTACTTATGAACCATGGATCCCTCCCGTGCTTTGTCGATGTGGGATTTGCCTAAGGTGTTAAATACACCCCCTCTTGGGACTCAACGCCCTCGTTGAGGTTTGCCCCATCATCGTTCAAGAGGGACGCGGAGAGGCTCTGATACCATTTGTAACATCCCGAACATTTTCCCGACAAGATACTGTCCGCTCTGGGCCTCTACACCCGCACGGATTTCGACTTGGGGCGCAATTCAAGGTGACTTCCCATAAGGTCACCCATCCTTGTTGTACTCCACACTGAGCACGTTTAACTTCGGAGTTCTCAGAAGAACTCCTCCATTACACCCAAAAACGCATCTTGTCAGTTAAGGCCGGTTTCCTACTTATGAACCATGGATCTCTCCCGTGCTTTGTCGATGTGGGATTTGCCTAAGGTGTTACAAGTTCATTGTGCTCTACAAAATGAGATCAATTTTCAATTTTTTTTGAGAAAAAAAAATTATTGCCTCTCGGTACCAACTGCATACCATATGGTATCTTCTTCGTTTTTAATTCGTTTTTGAAAACGTTTGCGCAGAAGGAACGAGTTCATCATGATTTATTGGATCTACAAATTTATGGGTGAACAAATTACAGGACCAAAAAAATACCACACAATACCACCCTGGTACGGGGTGATATCTTGCGGTACAAATGTTAAAAGTCGTAAATGACAGTAATATACTTCTACTATCATGTATTCAACCATCCTACAATCTTGGTTTGTTCATACCACCATGGTATGCTTTTCAAACCATAGGTATGCTCTTATTTCAATCCAGTCAATACCTTATGGTATAGACTGGTAAAAAATGGCTCAATTTTTGTTGTTCAAAAAATATATCAAAGTGGATATCATTTTGAAGAGCATAAAAAATTTTAGGTACCAAAATGTAAATTTACAATAATATTTTTGTATAAAAATATAAATCTTAGGTACCAAATGAAATATAAAAAATATAGGTACCAAATTATAATTTGCCATTTGAATTCATGGATTGATCCATTAATCCACCAATCCAATTGGATTTGGATCAAATGGATTGGATCTAAATGGATTGGATTAGGTGGATAATTTGGTGGAAGGATTGGATTGGATTCATGGATTTGGATTCTAATTGCCACCTCTACTTGTCTCTCGTTACCAACTACATACCATATGGTATCTTATTCATTTTTAAGTCGTTTTTTTTTGCACAGAATGAACGAGTTCATAAATGTAGTCAAAATCGCGATTTAAAGCGTAAAATCGTACGTTTTTATATATCCAGCTCCGACCAGCTTCCAGCTCCGAACAACTTCAAGCTCACCCTCCGACCAGCCATACCTGTGCAGCTTCCCGCCGCCAGACCTTGTTCTATTATTCATTTTTATTTTCAATTGTGGAATGTTCTGCTCCATTCACTGCTCTCATCGGCCATCGCCCAAGACAATGTTGGTGTTGCTTTTTTATGTTCATTACGACCACATACAACAGCAGCAGCTGGATGAATAGAATTGATAGAAATTACATGAATGAAAACTTGTGCAATGTATCATAAGTGGTTGGTTTGTCGATGATATGTGAACCTTTTTCTTTCCCCCCCTGAAGATGGGGGATTGAGTTTCTGCGGTGAGTATGGAGGATGGCTGGCCAAGAAGTATGAGAAGTCTCCTTTGGTTTGCGGGAGTGAACGACAGAGATTAGTTTGTCTCTTTGTTGCTAATTTGCTATAATCGGCAACTAATTTGTTTATAGCTATAATCATAAACCAAACAGAGATTAGTTTGTGTCTTTTATGGCTTTTCTTATTTATTGCACGTTGTTTTTACGAAGTTGATGTTCTTTGTTGAAATTTTGCAGAACAGTAGTGATGTCGAGTGATGGTACTAATGCAAGTATTATAGTGTATCAAGTAGTCCAGTTTGTGAGAATTTCGATTTTTTAACTCGTACGAGAGTTATGATCTATGCTTATGAACTTATTGTTAAAATGTTATGAGTTTGCACGACTTTGGAATCGTAACAAATTAATTTATGTGTGAGAAATTACGTTTTAAATGTAATTGCAGGTATTTATTCACTTGTACGAAATCTATCCATTCACATTTCACATTTCACATAGTACAAGTCGTACTTAACAGATTTACAACTATTTTATAGGGTGCATAAAAAACTTGCGCTTTTACGCTTTGATTCTACGCTTTATGATTTTACCAATTTTCCGCTTCTAGGTAGCGCTTTTGACTTATCTATCCACTCACATTTCACATAGTACAAGTCGTACTTAACAGATATACAACTATTCTATAGGGTGCATAAAAAACTTACGCTTTTACGCTTTGATTCTAAGCTTTACGATTTTACCCATTTTCCGATTCTAGGTAGAATCACGCTTTTGACTCCATTGTTAATCGTCATTACTTATTGGATCTACAAATTTCTGGGTGAACAAAATACAGGACCAAAAAATACCACCAAATACCACCCTGGTATGGGGTGGTATCTTGTGGTACACAATGTTGAAAGTCGTAAATGACAATTAGTATACTCCTACTATCATGTATTCAATCATCCTACAGTCTTGGTATGTTCATACCACCATGGTAAGTTTTGTCATACCATATGATATGCTCTTATTTAATACCAGTCAATACCATATGGTATATACTGGTAGGGGTGGGCATTGGGTGGATTAGGCGGATTTTAACCATAAAACGCACCCAACCGCGCTTAAACGGATTGACGATTTTTAATCCACCACCCACCCACATTTAGTCTTGGGCTGGGTCGAGCGAATGGTGGATGATGCGGGTGGGTTTGTGGGTCACCCACATCCCAATGTACATAATATAAAGAAGTCAGCTTGACATGATAATCGGTAGAGAGAGTTATCGAGTAAGAACAACATGATGAAATATTAAGGAAAATGTCGAATTAGTTCTGAAATTGGATAGAAATTCTATTATGAATGAGTTTTCTACCAATGGAGATGATTATCATGTGCAAAGAACTAGGTAAAATAATTCAATGAAGGAAAGAGATGTGACTAGGCATAGGAATCAGAGGGGAAAATAAAGTGAAAAGAGGGGCTCGTGAATTGGAATATTGGCATTGAAGTTCAATCTCCAAAAGAAGCTCTAGTTTTTGTCTAATGTCTCTACTCTTCAGTCACTAGTCACCAGCGCCAAAAACTTTGTTTTTTTTATTGTTGGGTTGAGCAGGTCACCCGCACACCCACCCACAACCCAGCCGTCACCCGACGGATGACTCCTAGCGCAACCCGTCACCCATCTACAAACCCACCCACATAATGAAATTTGGGTCAAATGCGGGCGGGTAGGCCCAAACCTGTGGGTGATCCACCTGCATGCCCAGCCCTATATACTGGTAAAAAATGGCTTAATTTTTTTTTTGTTCCAAAAATATATCAAAGTGGATATCATTTTGAAGAGCACAATTAATCTGATCTAACTATGAAAAAAATTAAATCCGACTTAAAATGAGTGAGAAATCGTCCGTTAAAGATTAAGGTGAAAAAATTTAAAGGCTTTCCAGAAGAGAAAAGGGGCGCTGATGTGGCAGTTGATGATTGAGTTATGCATAGTTACTCACCACAAGATTATGCATAGGAACTGCTCCCAGGGGCTAAGATCAGGTGGTGACTAAGTGAATCTCATTTAAATTTAATGGCTTCAATTAATCTGATTTAATGAAAGGCAATATGGTAATTGCATATTGTTTTAATTTTACGGGAGCGGTTACGGTGCTAATTGTACAATAGTTAGCACCGTCCTAACCAAGGGAAAAACTACTACTAGTTTGAATTAGTAGTGATTTAGCTTAGATGTTGTATTGATTTTATAATAATCCGTCTACTAGTTTGAATTAGTAGTGATTTAGCTTAGATGTTGTATTGATTTTATAATAATCCGTAGTGATTTCGTTATTTTTAGTAGCGTTTTTTGCTAGTTATCACGGTGCTAACCCCTATAAGGGTTAGCACCTAATCCCATTCCTAATTTTACACACCCACAGAGAGAGAGTTTACTTTTTGACCGTGAGAATTTTTTGGTGTCGGCGGTAGAGATTTTCCGACGATGGGGATTTTTCGGCGACAGCGGGAGCTTTGTGATTTTTGTCAGACTATTTTGTAATGTTTATAAGTCTATTAGGTTTGTATCAATTCTGTTTGTATCGTTTATCATTCTAGTTTGTAATGTTTATATGACTAATTTGTATATATATATTGTAATTTGTAATGTTTGTTTGTCTAATTTGTATACTTTATGTTATGATTTGTATACTTTGTATTCATTTATTTGTAATAAAAATTTACTGATTTGTATTGTAAGTAGTGACATTTTGTATTGTTAGTATGTTTTGTAATGTTTGTCGACTTGTTTTGTAATGTTTGTAAGTTTTGTTATTTTGGTAATGTTTGTAGGTTTTTTTCGTAACGTTTGTAAGCTTTATTATTTTTGTGTATCATGTTTGTCATTTTTGACATCAATGTTTGTAATATTTTTTTATGTCTAAAAAACAAACTGATTGACTTTCGGATGAAACTCCTCTATATCGCCATATCAGGATGGAACCTCCAGTCAACCCGGGTGTTTTTCCTTTTTGTATGGTTTGTCGGTCTAGTTTGTCATTTTGTCCATCATATTTATAATGTTTATATGTCTAAAAAAACAACCGGGTTGACTTTGGGACGAAGCCTGGTAGGGCAAAAGCGTATATGCCTTAATCCTATCTTGTAGTAAACCGGAAAGTCCGGGTATCGTCTCTCAGGGACTGGTACAACCTTAAGTTTTATCAATTTATGGAGCAAACTATAAGTGAAAATAGTTTAATGAGACTAATTTAAAAAAGCAAAATAAAACAAACAAATTAACTAAATGAAAACGGTAGGGAGAAATTCAATGGAGAAAGCTATGGGAGAAACACCGGGACTCACTACCTATCCTATCCAGATTAATTCACATATTCCAATCAGTTTAATCCATATCTCTACAGCTAGGATATCACGAATGTGCTAGCTATCCCTGTCGGGAATTACTACATACTAAACAATTAATTCAAATCCTACTGTCGTAGCTCAATGAATTAACTATTTAGCCTGAAGAACGATATCCCAATCAAGACCGCATATCACCTTATTTAATCCACTGTCGCTTCGTTAAGTTACTATGTCACATGAAATAGGTTCAGTTATTAGGGTTTCACTGTCGCCAATAACCTAATTAACAACAAATCATTGTATTGGTGGCCAGTCAACACAAAGCATTAAGTAATTTCATGCAATAGAGATTGGAAGAAAAGAAATACGAATCAATCCATCAATTCTAGAAACAGTTGCATCCTATGGTGTTTCCCCCAGAAATTGGGGTTTAGTTCATGACGAAAATAAAGCACACAATCATGTTTATAATGATCATCGTATCAATTAAAGCTAAAGGAAAAATACTGAGATTCTCGAACGTAATCCCGACACCAATTCCTTCTCGCTTCAATCGCCTGTTGCTTGCTCCGCGCGATAGCTCGCTTCTAACTCCGCGCTGCTGCTTTCACGAAACTTGCTTCCAACTCCGAAAGAATCCCGTCCCAAGCTGCCTCCGCCTCTTTTCTCCCAAAAGAATTGGCTTCCCCCTAGATTTTTTGTTTTTTTTTTCCGCCGCCAGCAATTGGCAGATCCCCCTTAAAAGAATTCCCCCAGCTTAATTATCTCTAGCCCCAAAATTAATTAATTCCCCCCCCCCCCCCAAGAATTCCAACTCCCTTCATCCGCCCAGGCCCCAAGCCCAAAAAAATCCCCAGCCCGCAAAAGTCCAGTCCCGGTTCAACTCCTCAGTAAGATCCGGTCCAATTAATAAATAAATGTACATCCAGTCCACTTATTATTCTATCCACCAATGCAAATTTCTCGTTTCATTTACCTGTAATATATAAAATATTTGGCATTTGATGGTAATGGTTTTGCAACCATTCCATAGTCATTTAGGCTGTGAACAAGCATTATATGTCTCAAACATATCATGAAATAATCACATTAAGCACACAAAATCAATATATTTTCGACAACTATCACAACCCCACACTCAATACTTGCTTGTCCCTAAGCAACGACTTGAACAAGAAACCGATAATTGGAGGAAACACAACACAGACCAGGGAGACACAACCTTTCTCAAAACATAATACCACGACACACAAACCAGAACATCAACACCATAAATTTACCCTTGTACTATTGTGATAATCAGTAGTTTCTTTCTTAATGGATGAGTTATGCTTTAATGATCATACATTTTCACCCCACACTCAAGGTCTTGCAACCCTTTAACATTAACTGACTCAAATCCACCAAAAACTCAATTAGTAAACACTCAATTCAGGTCATCGGTAGTGGGTGGTTAACAACTTATGGTGCAACAGTTATTAGGAGAATCTAACCACATCAGTGAGGTACATATCTCGTGAGGACAATCTGGCTTACTCACACCATTCATAAGCAATTAACTAAGCACAAGAGTCTCAAAAACTAACGGGGGAAACTTTTAGCAAACTTTATTTTAACTTTAAGCACATCACTACCTTTTCTGACAAGGAGAGCTTTCTCTCTTTTTTGATTTTGCTTGCCGAGTGGTCGTATTTAGTACAAGTGGGATTTGATTCTTACTACCGGTGACCGAGCAAGAGCAATTTCTGCTTCTTAGCACTCGCATAAGGGCTTCTTTCAACTCCTTTTCCTCGGTCCGTGTGGAGGGTCACTGCACATCCTCAAACGACACCTCACTCAACGGGGGGATCATACTTGATAAGCAACATCGTACGGTCACGAACCGATGCTCAATTGAACCTTTCCTAATCCCCCTGTGCAATGAGTGATTGCCTCACACGATTTTGGCATTTTACCCACACTTTAATTGTTATGGCAACTTTCTTATATTTTACTAGTCAGGTAGTGTTTTTTCTTTTTATAAAGATACAGTTCACTCCATTTAAAACATTCAAAACAGAGAGACTCATTGCAAAGTCAAAAGCTCACAACAACTGCAAGTAAGCACGGTATCCAAACATGTCGAATGGTCAATGTTCTCCACCTAACTACTTCATCAAAAGTCGTTACACTATCCTCACAAAATAGAGTATTGCTAAAAGAGTTTGCTCATTTAAAGCACATCAAGCCAGTCAAAACATCAAGCTCATTGTGAAGAACTTTGCAATTCAACACTAGTGGGGGTGATTTTGATGATCTTATTCAAGCACAAACTCATTTTACACGCATCACGGTTACTTACATAATGTTACCACAAGAGTACAAGGTTTTGTTTTTAATTTTTTCTCATTTTTAGGTGTTTTTTAGCCATTAGCTTTGCACAGGCAGACTGCACCTACACAGGCAAACTGCATGCAGTTTGGCTGTGCACAACCCAAATGACAGATTTTTTTTTTACCACATGCATCAGGGACAAACAAACACTAAGACTCACCACCCCACACTCAGGATGGAACAATGGCCCTAATGTTCAACTCCAAATCTAAACATGCACGAGTTTGACACAACAAAAAGAAGAAAAAAAACTTGCCAGATTCAAACACCAGCAGTACATCACAATCAGCTACCAAAACTACCCCACAGCCTACACCCAAAGATACAACCCCCCAGTCCACCTTGGGTTGCCTCCCAAGAAGCGCTTGTTTAATGTCCTCAGCCTGACGTTCATGGAGCTTTCAACCAATAGGTATGGAAAGGTATCCAGAATACCCTCCCGAGCAATGATAGAATGCATAACCTCCATCCAACATATGAGTCACCTCTGCAGGGCCAGGTGTGCGAAAATTTGGTATGACCTTCTTAGCTGGCATGTTGGACCCTTTAGTGAGGCGTAGGTGGTATTGCAGTGCCTCAAGCAAGTACTCTTCCTGTTTCAATGTCAGTGAAGAAGGAATAATAGCAGGAAGATTGAAATCCTTACCCAAATATCTATACTTGAGGTGATCTGGCAAGGATTTCTGTCCTTGCTTTGATTTCAGAATCTGAGCAGATAGGACATGTGATAGTTGTTCAGGTTGTCCACTATCACAGGAGAAGGGATTTTTCCTTTCTCGAGCTGCACTTTCAAAGTCATCAAATGCATCGTGATTATGATCAACTTGAAAGTCATTAAAAATTTCCTCCTCCATACCTACTCGGAATGTCAGTTTGCTTCTCCCAACATCGATGAGTGCAACTCCAGTTGCTAGAAAAGGTCTCCCAAGAATGAGAGGCACTCCCCGATCTTCTTCCATCTCCAGAATCACAAAATCCGTAGGGAGAATAAACTTCCCCACCTTCACCAATACATTCTCCACCACTCCCTTTGGAATTTTCACTGATCGATCGACCAATTGGAGAGTGATCCGAGTAGGCTTAAGAACATCTCCCAATCCTAATTTCTTGTAGACTTAGTATGGCATCAAATTAATGCCTGCCCCTAGATCAAAGAGTGATTTATCAAACTCTCTACCTCCAATGACACATGGAATGGTGAAGCTTCCTGGACCATCCCTCTTTTCTGGTAATTTATTCTGAACCACGGCACTACATTCAGAAGTAAGGGTTACCTTCTCCAGATCAGCCCATTTGCGCTTCTTCGTCAGCAACTCCTTTAAGAATTTAGCATATGTAGGCATCTGTTCAAGTGCCTCCGCCAACGGTATGTTGATATGAAGTTGCTTGAAGATATTCACAAATTTCTTGAAGTTTGGGTCTTCCATGGGCTTCATTAACCTTTGAGGTAATGATGCGGGAGGTTCATAAGGCTTTACCTCTTCATCCTTGAATTTTTCCACCTTCGGAGGTGCACAGGCAGAATGCTCATGCACAGGCAGACTGCATGCTGGTTGTCTGTGCAAGTCAAAATTTTCAGCTTTTGCACTTTCTTCCTCTGCAACTGCTTTGCCCTCATTTTCTACTGGATTTTTCTTGCTTTTTGTATCCTCCAACTCCTTCCCACTCCTCAATATGATAGCTACAACAATGGCGTCCTTCGGATTCCTCTCAGTATTTGCTGGTAAAGTCCCAGGAATCCTACCTTGAATATCTGCCAAAGTTTGAGCCATCTGGCCTATTTGTCTCTCCATAGCTAGCATAGATGATTGCATATTATTTTTGATGGCTAGCTGTTGAGTGACAAATTGATCAAGACCCTTGAAATTATTGTCTGTTTTCTACATATGAGCCAAAATCAACTCCTCCAGCTGGGGCTTCTTCTCTGGTTGAGGCTGCTGCTGTTGAAAACCAGGAGGTGGGATGTTTCGAACACCAGCTGGATTATTGTTTGACCATGACATATTGGGGTGATGTCTCCATTGAGGGTTGTATGTATTTGAATACATACCACTCTGGCCTTGACTTCGCAGATTATTGATATATTGGACATCTTCCAACTGAGCAGCTCCCAGTGGACACATATCCCTATGAGAGGTTTCTCGCAAAGTTCACATGAAACAACCTCCTCTTGTCTACCCAGAGCAATCTTGGCCAGCCTTCGTTCGAGTGCATCGAACTTAGAATCCAGCTTGGCATCTATCTTGGCTTCTAGACTCGCAACTCCGTTTATCTCATGCAAGCCTCCTCTTCTTCGAATACTGGTCTCGCTACCCCATTCAATGGCTTCTGAACAGATCTTCTCTACCAGTTCATATGCTGCTGGAGCCTCCATCCTTGTGAAACCATTTCGAGAAGCATTATTTAGGGCATCCCGAAACTCCCTTATGATTCCATTGAAGAAAATAATGATCACGTTCCAATATTCAAGACCATGGCTTGGACATCTCATCAATAACCCCTTATAGCACTCCCATGCCTCAGTTAGACTCTCATCATCAACCTGCTTAAAACAATCTCTTCTTGCCTCTTCATTGCCAAGGCAGGTGGGAAGTATTTATCCAGAAAGACCTTCTCAAGCTGAGCCCATGTCGTGATGGAACGTGGCGTTAAGTTCTGAAACCAGTGTGATGCATTCCCTATCAGAGAGAATGATAACATCCGAAGACGAATTGCATCGTCAGACACAGTTGGGCTTTTCATCGTATCACATATGCTCGCGAACCGGCGGAGATGCTCGTGAGGATCCTCATTGCTAGCCACGGAGAAAGTATATCCATTGGTGATCATGTTGATGAATGCTGGGGTAATCTCCATGTTTGCATCCCCAGCCGGAATGACAACACATGAAGCTTGGGCTCCAGTCCATCGATTCAAACGAGCCCTGATCGAACGATCCTCATCTGCCATGATGACAGGCTCAATGTCACGAGGTGGTGGTGGTGGTGTCGGTGGTGTAGGGACGACAAGTGATGAAGCCTGCCCTCTCTGGGTTAGGGAAAGCCTAGTAGTTGTGGTTGGCTACTTCGCTAACTTGACCTGCTTCTTGTTCTGATGGCAGGTCTTCTCGATCTCCGGATCTAGTGGCAGTAAATTGCCAGTCGTCCTCCCTGGCATGCACGAGGAAGATAAACCTGAAAATTCTTCTGCACATAACACCCAGATGAAAATAGTTCACTCACAAAAATCAATAAAAAAAAGGTATGGCAGTCCCCGACAATGGCGCTAAAAACTTGGTAGGGCAAAAGCATCCCTTAATCCTATCTTGTAGTAAACAGGAAAGTCCGGGTATCGTCTCTCAGGGACTGGTACAACCTTAAGTTTTATCAATTTATGGAGCAAACTATAAGTGAAAATAGTTTAATGAGACTAATTTAAAAAAGCAAAATAAAATAAACAAATTAACTAAATGAAAACTGTAGGGAGAAATTCAATGGAGAAAGCTATGGGAGAAACACCGGGACTCACTACCTATCCTATCCAGATTATTTCACATCTTCCAATCAGTTTAATCCA